GGGGGGGGGGGAGTTCTGTTAGAGATGGGACGTGCCCCAGTTTCCATTTTACCCAAAATGCACATTTTATGTTTTATGCACAGGATAACAGAAGCCTGTGTAACGTAATTGTTTTCACAGGGAGTTGTGGCAAGGTCTGTGAATATATTTTTTTACCTTACCTTGCTGCTTTCGGATTTTCCATGCGGGGCAGGCTCTATCGTTTGGCAGAGTAAGACGTTGGCCGCTGTTGGCAGAGCCTGGAGTGAACAAAGCTCTGTACATCCCCAAAACTAGCTGGCTGCCTTTCCATGTAGTGGAAGATACAGTCCTGTTGCCAAGTATGATTGAAACCAACAGGCTAACCCTAGCTGGCTCTGTTTAGACGCAGTGGGGAGGACTATCATTAAGGGTGGCAACATGCCCTTTTCTTATGGAAGGCATTTTAAAGGGTTGACATTGCAGGGTGATCTTCCCTACAAAGGTGCTCCCCACACAAACAGTTGCTTGATAAAGAGCCAGAAGGAAAAAATACCTTGAAGGCACCTATCCACAATTAGTGTTCAGACAGAAGACTCAGCAGGCACACAAGTCACCTGGTCCTTGTCTTTGCTAGTGAGATGCATTATAATTCTATTTCAAAATCAGTTCTAATTTTGCATCTGTATGTAGAAATCACCATGTCCAATTTTAGGTAAATCAGTGTCCATATCTGTATCCTCCTTTTGGTTGCGCATGCCCTTTGTTTTGCTAACGTATAAACCACTACCCTGGTGTCCTTCACTTCAGGCAGCAAAATGCCCTTGATGAGCCCTGTTCCCAGGAACATCCGGCTGGATACTTAGACTGATCCAGTAGGGTCTTCTTGTACTTTTACACTGAAATCTATAATTTTTCAGAGTTTCTCTGGGTGTATTATCACCACTTTAGGTCTTACTGGCAAGGCTGCCAGTAACAGATATAGAGATACCACATCATAGAAAGAAATAAAGCAGGTTGGCTTCTAGAACACTCTTTCACCTTTTCCTTTTTGTTTCACTGTACAAGTAAACAAAAGAAGCTCTACTGTATTGTATCAGACCATAGTCTCTATCTGGCCCATACTGTCAATGCTAATAGACAGCAGTTCACTAGGGTGTCAGGCAGGATTCCTTCCAAGCCTGATCCAGAGAGACCCTTCGTATTCCCCGATGGTCTCCCATCCAAGCACTAAAGAGACTCGACCCTACTTAGCTTCCAAACTCAGCTTGGATATGTACAGGATACTGTGGTAAGACTGCAGCAAGCTCTTGGCAACATTGTAACTACAGTAACTTTCCAACATACGATGGAGTTATGCATTTTATGTGCACATTCTATCATGTTCAGTCAATGCTAATCTGTGTGATGTGGTTGCCTTAAATTAAGCCACTGAAAACTGTGCAGACATCCATTGAAACTTTTGCAATAGATGCTGTTTCATTATCCCTGTTTTTACTCTCTCTTTTGAAATATATGAAATATGAAAAAGTTTTTTAGTGTCAGAACCAACTTACAATGCTTGTAATAGGGCTTTTAAAGATAAGTGAGATAGTTAAAGAGTGGCTTTACCAGTTTGATACCCCCAGTGAATTTCCATGGCTGAACAAGGATTCAAACTCAAGGCCTCATAAATGCTAATCTATTGATCTACTACATCATACTGGAACTATCTTTACTGTATCTCTATATGAACCTTGTGACACAGTTGATAAATTGTAGTACTGCAGTCAAGATGCTGCTCACGAGTTTGATCTCAATGGTCTCAGGTAGCCAGCTCGAGGTTGACTCAGCCTTCTATCCTTCTGAGGATTTAGTACCCAGCTCGCTGGAGGGCAGGGCAATGTTTAGCCTGCATGATTAAGTTGCAAACCACCTTTAAGCACTATGGAGAGGTATATATATAGCACATTTTACTTTTGCTTTCCAGTAGAACCACCGTATCTGTGGAATTGGTACTCATTGCTTCACTTACTTCCTGCCTGAAAATATTAAGTAACACCCTCCTAAAATACATGTTTCCAAGATTTATTACCAGAAGTTGCCACTAGAGGGAAACAGAGACTACACTATACAGTGGTGCCTCGCTTGATGACGATAATCCGTTCCAGCAAAATCGTTGTAGAACGAAATCGTTGTCAAGTGAAAGTAAAAAACCCATTGAAATGCATTGAAAACCGGTTCAATGCGTTCCAATGGGCGAAATACCTCATTGTGCAGCAAAGATCCTCCATAGGGTGGCCATTTTCCAGTGCCTGTTAAGCGTGGAATCCGTCCTAAACACAGCGGGGAACCATTTTGCACAGCGAGGAGCCATTTTGAGAGCCGCTGATCAGCTGTTTAAAAATCATTGTTTAGCGAAGAACCGGTCAATCAGCTGTTTAAAAATCATCGTTTAGCAAAGAACCGGTTTCTGAAGCAGGGAACTGATCGTCGTAAAGCGAATTTCCCCATTTAAACATTGTTTTGCTATCGCAATAGCTATCACAAAGACCTCATCGTAAAGCGGATTCATCGTAGAGCGGGGCAATCGTCAAGCTGGGCACCACTATATATAGAGTTTCTGTATCTGTGCTTTCTCAGCATTCATAGCGGGGGCTTGGAATTGATCCCCTGTGGATATTGGGGGTCCTACTGTGTACCTATAATGAAAACACCGTAAGCTATAATGTTAATTTTAACAGCAACAACAAACTGATGAAATGACAGCAATTGCAAAGCAAATTTAGAGCATAATTTTGAATATTTAGGATTAATCTGTTAAAACATTGTAACATCATTGTCCACAATTAGCACTATACTGTTACAGCTCTGTGTATCTCATTTGATTAAAAACAGTTCTCAAAACTAAACAGAGCCACAGGAACACATGCAACGGCCTCATCCTAAGTCAGACACCACTGGCCGATCTAACTGGTCATGTCAGCTGGGGCAGTGGCTCTCCATTATTTTAGGCAGGAGTGTTTCCTGGCCCGACCTAGAGTTGACAGACACTGAACGTGAGGCCTTCCACCCACAGAAAGCATGCACGTTCCCACTGAGTTACAAAACAGGGTTGTCCAATGATACCCACTGCACAATGAGAGTGTGCTGAATTGTAACAGGCTTACTTCTTCATTTTGCAGGGTTGTCCAATGATACCCACTGCACAAGTCACAATGAGAGTGTGCTGATTTGTAACAGGCTTACTTCTTCATTTTATTGCTACCCATGACAAAGCCTTGCCATGTACAAAAGAGTGGCACACAGGAATCTATGATCTCCCCTTCCTTTTCAATGAAAAGGTCAGACTCTCGACCATCTGAGGAAAGGTGGGAGAACCACAGGGAGAATACCAGCATGATGGCATCATGCAGACAGCCCATGCAAAAGGTACTATGGGACTGAAAACTCCTTATATCGCCATTAAAAAAAAATCCCCAACAATCTTGTGTAGCGATTCTGTTGTGCTCTTCCTAAAAGACCTGTTGTGGGAAGAACAAAGCAGCTGTTGGGAGAGGGAGGGAGAAGCAAGGCCAGCGTTGCCTGGAAGCACCAGAAGTTGGTGAAGGAATCAGGGCAAGGTTTTACACTAAGATATTAAAGTGGAATCTCCTGAGGTGATGTTGGAGTCTATTTTGCTTGCAAACCCCCCAGCTGACAACAGAGGGCAGTGGACGCAAAAAACAGGGACCCTCTGCAGAAGAAAGGAAAGGTAGGTAGATAGTTATCAAAGAGGCGTTATTCACCATATGTTGGGTGGGGGAATCTGAAATATTGTGGCATCTTTATTTCGCGGAGAGCTTTCCTGGTTTACAGTCCGCTTCCTCAGAACCAAGTGGAAATGAATTGTAATCCACAAAAACTCACATTCCAGTTAAATCTGTTAAAAAGTGTCCCAGGGCTGTTGTTTATTGTTATCTGTCAGCTCATAGTTTAGGGCAGAGCATATAAAGCTTTCAGGTTAACTTCCATGGCAGGAATGTCAGTGAAATTTGATTTTCCAGTCTGGCCTTGGAGCCACCAGGAACTCTTTGCTAAAGCATCTGAATCCTTCCCAGTTCACTGGTCCATAAAATAATGCCAGGCACAAAGGCTCGGGTACACAGCTTGGTATAATGAATAGAACAATGGACTAGTACCCTAGGGTTTGATTCTTCAGCTCTACCTTTAAGAGACCCTATTAGGAGCACTCCTAAGTCTGTTCTGATTTGATGTTTTCTGAAGTGGTAGCCATGTTAGTCTGTGCAAGCATACGAGTCAGACAAGAAACAAAACAAAAGCAAACATTAAAAAAAATTAACACAAAATCCACAATGTTTCTATCTCTCTCTCTCTCTTTAATAAAGGCTTAAAGTTCAGAGTTGTGTCTAGGGACCTCGGGAAAGCAGGACCATTGTGACAGTCCACGGAACTGCCTATCAATGCACACAACTGCATCAAATTAATTACCAGTAATGTAATGTCCTCCTTATTGGCCTTACCCATCTCCATCAATGTCAGCAACAGCAACTGTATGTCCAAAATATGATGCAATCTGCGAGAGGAAAGGGGATTAAGAGCAAAGGTACATATCAGTGCACATTATTATTTTTTTCATTTTATTGATACCACTTCTTTTCCAAACACATTCCACAAGGTTAACAAAAAACAAACAAACAAAACAAAAGAAAAAAGAACAGAAAACAACCAGCCACAGAACAGCATTGTTTACAAAGCCAGCTGGTGCATCGGTTAGTGTGTTGGGCTGAGGCTTGGGAGATTCAGGGTCCAACCCTCACCAACCCATAAAACATGAGTGATCTTGGCCCATCCCTTCTCTCCTACTTCAGAGGCTTGTTGTCATGATAAAGGAGAGGAAAGGTGAGCCATATGAGTTCTCTGAGCTCACTGTAAGAAAGGTGGGATATAAAGGTGAGGCATGAACAAAGATAGGCTGGCTCGATAGCTCAGTGGTTTAGGTATCTGGCTGTGGAGCCAGAGGTGGGAGTTCAATTTTCTCCACTGTGCCTTCTGGGAGAAAAAACCAGCCTGTGTGGTAATGGGCAAGCTGCACAGTCCCAGAGCACACACAGAAGAAGGGAATAGTAGGCTAGTAAAATAACAGCAGCTAGCATTTTGTAACTGGGAGATCCATTGAGCTATGGAACTCAATCAGAACTTTCCTAAAGCCAGGTTTGGATCTAGCCAGTTGTGTAGAAAGAGCACCAACAACTCTGTCGCTTTCTCACAGAAAGCCTGCCTATTGTTTGTCTTGCTCTGGGGAGAAACAGAGAGGGGGCAGTGGCAATGTTGTGATGGGAGGGTAACATGATGGGGAGAAGTCATGATGGCATTTCTCCAGCATTGGGCAGTTCAAGAACTCAGGCCTTAACGTTGCCTCTGTTAGGCCTAGTTGGAGGGTGGGAGTGGGAGCAAATCCTCCTTTATATCATCCACTCCCCTGAGCCACTCAACTAACCTGCCGTGCCTGATTTTATAACCCAGGAAGTTCCAAGGACAAACCATACAACTAGTAATCAAGTTCATGCTTCTCAGGGATTTGCCTGTATCTTTGAGTTGCAGACACTTCCTGCGATCAGGTCCAGTTGTAAGAAGCCAATGGAATGTGGATGGACCCAACTATAGTGGGGCATAATTCCTGTTGTCATTTAAAAATACTACAGTGAAAGGGACACCAGACATCCAGCATGGTGTAATGGGTAGAGTGACAGACAAAGACTCAGGAAACCTCGGTTCAAATCCCTTCTTGGTCCTGGAAACTCACTGGGAATGTGGTACTGGTAAAATCACCCCTTAAATATCTCAATTACCTCAAAAGCCCTAGGGTCACTATAAATAGGTTCTGACTTGACAGTACATAACACACACACACACACACACACACACACACACACACACACACACACACACACACACTGTATGAGGTGTGTGCATTCATTGCCTAGATAACCCACCTCTCCTTATCTTTTGTATTAGATCTGACTGGCTCAGTTAGCAATGGAGAGGGTGAGAGGCAGGAATGGAAAGAATCAGAGGGCTCAAGACTTTGTTACCTGCTCACTAGGGATGGTCCACAGAACTCTGAAGACATGTTTGAACGTCATAATTTCTACCTATGATGGAAAATAAGATCAAAGTCAGGGGATTATGCACTTGTCCCCCTATACCACTGGAATCCCACTTTTCATCTTCCTCAAGAAGCCACAACTATACCCCCAACCAAGGTTCCCTCGAAGACGGGCGTGCCCGTGGCCCTTTGCCTCCCTCTGTGCAGAGCTTGCGTTAGGTTCCAGACATGACAGAAGCCTGCAGGGGGCCCCGGGGTTGCACGCATGTGCGCAGGAGCGAAGTTGCATGCGAGAGAGGCAGAGTCCCACACAATGAAGCTGAAAGTTAGAGGGTACGTTGCCCCCAACCATCTAACCTACTTTTGGCCTAAAGAGGCTGCACAGATTCCCCCCAAACTATCATGCACAGGGCAGTTTAATAACACCCAAATCAATGGGGCACCAAGAGAGTGTCAAACCCATCACTGTTTCCTATATACCAAGACATGCTCTAGTGCAATACAGTGGGTGTAATAATATCACAGAATGGCTCTGTACATGTGCAGAATCCAAGGATATTTTAAAGTATGGCTTAATGACCTTCTCTGCAGTTGCTGTGCACCATTCCTCAGTCCTAGAACATAACAGAACAACAATATATAAAAGAGTTCCTTTGAGCACGCAGAGATGTGGCCACAATTTGTGTTGTTATTCTGACCTGTAACCAGTGCAAAAGCTCTGTTCCAGAGCACATGGACCAATACTCTATATGAATTTCTCTGAGCATGTGCAAAGTATCTGAGACTAAATGGACACAATCATGCAGTCCTGAGCCACTGCACCTATTATTTTTGACTTGCAGTACTGTAACTACCTTTTTCTGCAAAAGAGAAACCAGCCACTAGCCCCTCCACTCCTTCTTCCACAGATCTCTTGTACTCACCACTCCTTGTGTTTTGCTCTTGTTAGGAACACCCATCACATATTCTGCAAATGGGAGATCTAATTAGGCTGGAACACTATAGCTGCAAGCCAGCATTGTTGTATGACATGCTGATAATGATCAAAATTTAGGACCCCCCTTGCATGACACTATAGGAAAGTAAACTTCCTAGGATTTTGCAAGACTGATAACTTAAGCAAATGCCTTATATCACGTTAATATTATACAGTCATATTCTCACTCTCATTTTACAGGGTGGCAATGACTGGTCTATGAATCACAAAAATTAGCCCATTAGCTAAGTCACAATTCAAACTCCTAGAAAAAAATGTTCAATAAGATTAGGTTTAGCAAAGTTGATCTTAAAGGTAAAGGTAAAGGTTCCCCTTGACAATTTTTGTCCAGTCGTGTTTGACTCTAGGGGGCGGTGCTTTGATCTTAAAGGTAAAGGTAAAGGTTCCCCTTGACAATTTTTGTCCAGTCGTGTCCGACTCTAGGGGGCGGTGCTCATCCCTGTTTCCAAGCCATAGAGCCAGCGTTTATCTGAAGACAATCTTCCGTGGTCACATGGCCAGTGCGACTTAGACACAGAACACTGTTACCTTTCCACTGAAGTGGTCCCTATTTATCTACTTCCATTTGCATGTTTTCGAACCGCTAGGTTGGTGGGAGCTGGGACAAAGCAACAGGAGCTCACTCCGTCGCGTGGATTCGATCTTACGACTGCTTGGTCTTCTGACCCTGCAGCACAGGCTTCTGCGGTTTAGCCCGCAGCGCCACCACGTCCCTAAAGTTGATCTTACTAAATAGCAAAATGTGTGTGTTCTGTGCTGTCAACTCAGAACCAATTTATAGTGACCGTAAGAGTATTCTCAAGATAAGTGAGACATGGTTTTTACCAGTGCCGCTCCCCCAGCGAGTTTCCATGGCTGAGCTGGGATTCAAACCCTTTTTTTCTCCAGAGCCCTCACCTGTCTATCTACTACACCACACTGGGAAGTACCAGCGAGGTTCCATGGCTGAGCTGGGATTCAAACCCTTCTTTCTCCAGAGCCCTCACCTGTAACTCTATCTACTACACTACACTGGGAAGTAAAGAAGACTGCTATTGTTGTTTAGTCGTTAAGTCGTGTCCGACTCTTTGTGACCCCATGGACCAGAGCACGCCAGGCCCTCCTGTCTTCCACTGCCTCTCGGAGTTGGGTCGAAGCCTGCTATAGTACAGTCTTCTATAGAGTCTATAAAGTCTATATAAGACTGTACTATAGCATAAACAAGAACCTAGGAAACTCTTATTATACAAAATCAGGCCATTGGTTTGCCAAAATCCTACTGTCCCTCCTAGCAGAAAATGACCACCAGCAAAGTAGCTCGTTTCCTTACCTGGCGATTCAGGATCCTCGTTAAACTCTCCCAAAGCCACTGAATACCCTGCATGGGAGGAATAATGGGAGAGACTTAATGAAGGATGTCCTTGGATGAAATAAGCTTGAGGGCAAGATTCTCCTGTACATCTATCCACTTCATCCCACCTGTGCCTTTCTACGTTCCTTTCTACAAAACCCCCATAGGTCACTTTCTCCCACTCCCACTGTGCTGATACAGTATGTTCCTGTACTTCAACCAATCCCTGTTGGTCCCACATCTAATGCAAGGCTGTATGTCATCTGTCCCCACACTGACAACCTCCTAATTTCTTATGTAAACCCCATAATAAAACTGGAAGGCTGTCTGTCATCTGTCCCCACACTGACAACCTCCTAATTTCTTATGTAAGCCCCAAAATAAAACTGGTGCACCCATTCCTTGAGATGTCTGATTCGGCTACAGTGATGCATCCCTTACCATCCCTCTTGGATTACGGTAACGTGTGCTAGGTGGGGCTGCCTTTGAAGGTGGTTCAGAGAACCTTCAGCTGGTCCAAAATGCAGCAGCCAGACTGCTGACTGGGGCCAGTTAGAGAGAACATATAACGGTGGGGCTGCCTTTGAAGGTGGTTCAGAAAACCTTCAGCTGGTCCAAAATACAGCAGCCAGACTGGTGAGTGGGCCAGGTAGAGAGAGCGTATAAAACCCCTGGTACAAGAACTGCACTGGCTACCAGTCCATTTCCAGGCCCAATTCAAAGTGCTGGCCATTACCTATACAGCCCTATACAGCCTGGTTCCAGGCTACCTGAAGGACCACCTCTCTCCATATAAGCCTTCTAGGTGCTTGAGATAGTCCAAGGAGGCCCTCCTCTTGGTCCCATTGCCAGCCCAGGTCCAGTGGATGGAGCTACGAGAGAGGCCTTCTCTGTCTCTGCTCCCAGGTCATGGGATGCTCTCCCTCGGGCCATCAGTTTGATCCCCCTCCCTTTTATCCTTCCTCTGACAGCAGATGACCCTGCTTTTCAGGAAGGCTTTTAGCAATCATGACTGAGTCCATGAATGCCATTTCTTATTTAAGATCATTTTTACAGTTTTACATGTTTTTAACCATTTAAAGGTATTTTAATCTCTTTTCGTGTGTGTGTGTGTGTTTTAATGTATAGCTTACTGTGCTTTCAGCTGGGCCACCTTATCAGAAGAAAGGCAGCCTATAAATAAGACAATAAACAAACAACCAGAGGGCACCAAAGACCATCTCCCGAACTCATCTGAACTCTGCATGTGTGTGTCATCTTCCTCCTCCTGCCAATTTCCCCAAGGGTTTACATGAGGAAATGTCTGCCAACTAACCCCGATAGCTGTCGTAATTCCCGTCTATGTAATCACTCGTGAAATGGTGTTCGGTGATGCTCCACAACAAGCTAGGGCTGCGAGGAAAGCTGGCTTCGATGGCTGGTAAACTGACTGAATAGATCATACCTGGAAGAGAGACACGGTAGACATATCCATTCCTCACTGGCAGCATGGGTGGGAAGACACAGGAGAAGATGCCTCTGAGTTCTATTCCTCCCCCCACCTTCATCCCAACAGTAGGGCGGTTTCCAGCCTTGGGTCACCCAGGTATAGGCAGCATGGGTGGGAAGACACAGGAGAAGGTGCCTCCGAGTTCTAATCCTCCTCCCACCTTCATCCCAACAGGTATCTCTGGACTGCAACTCCCAGAAGCCTTCCCCACTAGCTGTGCTGGCTGGAGTTTCTTGGAGTTGCAGTCCAAGAACAGGTTGGGAACCACTGCAATCGTGAAAGCCAACAACAAAGATGTGCAGTGTAGTGGTGAGAGTGATGAGCGGATACTTGGGAGATCCAGATTCAACTCCCCACAGAGCCACAACAATTGCCGAGTGACCTCAGACCAATTTTTCTCTGCTTTTCTCACGGAGTTCTTGCTCTGAGGACCAAGGGTGGAGAAACAGAACCATGCCTGGTTCCCTCAAGAAAATATATGATATAAAATACAATTTATCACAAAATAGCTAAACTGACAATGAGCTGCCTCTGAAAGGTACCACAGTGTCTGCCTGTCTCAGTTGGCATAATAGTAGAAAATGCAGGCTAGCAAACAAGGCAGTCCTGCGGCTAGAACTATTGAGTTGGAATGGCCTGAGACCTAGTTTGACATACTATCCACTACACCAAATAAAAGGTAGGTGAAAGACAATACAATACTTGTGAATATATTTTTGAAAGATTCCAGTGGGCACATTTCCATTTTTTAGGGAGGCCAGGGAAGGTCTTCCAGAGGAAGGGCTGTCACTGGAAGGGCTGCCCAGATGATCATCCTCTTGGAGTGTGTATGCATAAATGTATGTATGTAAAAATATACATATTTTTAATTAAATAACTTGATTACAAAAATAACAGGTAGGAAGCTATTCTTGATTTTCAACTTAAATCTAAATTCCTGTAACGTAAGCCCATTATTACCTGTCCTGCACTCTAGGATGATTAAGAACAGATCCTGGCCCTTCTCCATATGATAATCTTTTAAGTATTTGAAAAATGCTATCCTATCTCCCCTCAGCCTTCTTTTCTCAAGGTTAAACATGCTCAGTTATTTCAGTCTTTCCTTATAGGGCTTGGTTTCCAGTCTCCTGATCATCCTTGTTACCCTTCTCTAAAATTGTTCCAGTTTGTCAGCATCCTTCTTTAAGTTCAGAACCTAACTACTGCCAAATAGAGGGGAACTAGTACTTCACAGTATTTGGAAACTATACCGGTAATTCTGTTAACGCAGCCTAAAACAGCACCTGTCTTTTTTGCAGCCACATTGTACTGTTGGCTACACTCTGCTTTTGTTTTCTCTGAAACCAAGAATTCAGATAGAACATGGTCAATGTATTCATGAAGGCTTTCACGGCCGGGATCTAATGGTTGTTGTGGGTTTTTCGGGCTCTTTGGCCGTGTTCTGAAGGTTGTTCTTCCTAACGTTTCGCCAGTCTCTGTGGCCGGCATCTTCAGAGGACAGCACTCTGTGCTCTGGTGTACTTGGCTTGTTTTTCAAAGGTTTCACCTGTATGTTCTCCTTGATTGGGTAGTTGGTAGTAAACTGCTATTACCACGTTCCATTTGTTTTTTGCCCTAATTATATTAATCCAAATGCTCTCAATGGGACAAACAAACTCATCCTCCTGTGTTTCTGTGTAGGATGTAATATTTCCCAGCAACTGGCACTCAGAGACATATTATTTCTGTTCATGGAGATTATTTAAAATATTTTAAGCCAACTTTCATGGTGCACTGCTCTCGCATAGCAGTCAACAAGCGTACAAAATAGATGAAAATGCAATTGTGATTGAACAGAGAAAGACAGAGTCATAGTAGCACAATACAGGGGCCACAGGAAGGAAATTTACAAATACAGAAAATGGTTGTTGTGGGTTTTTCGGGCTCTTTGGCCGTGTTCTGAAGGTTGTTTGCTGTCCTCTGAAGATGCCGGCCACAGAGACTGGCGAAACGTTAGGAAGAACAACCTTCAGAACATGGCCAAAGAGCCCGAAAAACCCACAACAACCATTAGATCCCGGCCCTGAAAGCCTTCGTGAATACATTAAATACAGAAAATTCTGTGTATAACTATACAATCATTTGCTTTCTAAGTTCCCACTCATGTGTTTCCTTAACAATTGTTTTTTCACTACTTTCATTGCAAATGGATATATATCCTCTTTGGGGGAAAGTGATTGGAACAGCATAGTGTGTTCTGAACATGGTTGTGCTCTTGTGCCCACAGCTTATAAAGACAAATCAAAAATAAAGTGTGCTGTTCAAATACTGCCCCATAGTGCTTAAAGCACTCTCTGGGTGGTTTACAGTTCAATTGCACAGCTTGCACATTGCCCCCAGTGAGCTGGGTAGCAATTTCCCTGACCATGGAAGAATTAAAGGTTGAGTCAACCTTGAGCCCTCTACGTGAACCCACTGGGATCAAATTCAGGTTATGTGCAGAGTCTTGACTTCAGTACTGCACTTTAACCACTGTGACATAAGGCTCCCTATATACAAGGGACTTACCTCCAAAATAATATCCACCAGGTGCCCCAACCAACAGTCTCCCGGTCTGTGGATGGAAGAGATGAGATGAAAGCAGACAACACTGCTGGAAAACCACATTCTCAGAAGCCACATTCTCTAGATCTCACACGAGCAGTTACTCCCACGAAGGGTCAGGAGAAGTGATATGCCAGTTTCACACTCAGTTCTCCAAAATTAGATAGGTAACTGTCTCTTTATCTGTACTGTGTCTGTGCATTCCCTCTGAATCAGAACTAGGAAATATCTTTTGGACTACACCTCTCAAAATCCATATGCCCCAAGTCATATTTGCTATTTGCCGTTCCCTCTCCTCCACAACAAAACTCACTTCAGAGATGACTGTGCTGAATCCAAGTTCACAGTAGCGCTTGTCATTCCCTGATTAAAGAAAAAGAAACAAGAAAGCATCTTTATTAATTATTTGCATCTGGGGAGTTTTACTACATGTTAGCACAGTCTTACATAACATCTGTGCATCTTTGAAACTTTAATAATCCAATGTGCATACCTACTGGGTAGTAAATCAACGAGACTAACTTTAGTGGATATAGCAGAGCAAGCTAACCTATGGATCGTCTATGTAAGGGGTGGGAGGACCTCTAGCCCTGGATCCCAATCTGGCCCTTCTGGTGGGCCCACTGAATCAATGGTGAGTCAGCTCCTCCATAAGTTCACATAGGTAAGAGTTCTCCTTGACATTTAGTCCAGTTGTGTCCAACTCTAGGGGGCGGTGCTCATCCCCGTCTCCAAGCCGTAGAGCCAGCGTTTGTCCATAGAAAGTTTCCATGGTCACGTGGACAGCGCAATAAGACACGGAACGCTGTTACCTTGCCACTGAGGTGGTACCTATTTATCTACTCACATTTTTACATGCTTTCGAACTGATAGGTTCACAGGAGCTGGGACAAGCGACGGGAGCTCACTCCGTTGTGTGGATTCGATCTAACAACTGCTTGGTCTTCTGACCTTGCAGCCCAGAGGCTTCTGCTGTTTAACCTGCAGTGCCACCACGTCCCGGGTAGGTTCACATAGACCTATTCTAATTGTGACTGGCTAACTTATATGTATAAATGGAAATTGGAAAGATCATTGTGGCATCCACCCAGGTTATGAATATTCATATGCTATCTACATAGACCAATGGGACAGCTGGAGGGGCGGAGTCATGAGATATAAGAGACTCAACAGGAGGAGGGAGAGTTTCAGATAGGGAGTCAGTCAGGGAGTTTTGGGAGGGTGGTGGTTGAGAATGCGTGAAGGAGGATGTTTGTTAAGAGTTAACAACATTGCTTGAAGTATCTACATCTCTAACAATAAATAGTTTCTAATTGGTTCTTTTAAAATGACACATTGCCTGGACCTCTATTATTAATATTAAACAATGATGTAATCAACTGGCAGCAGCTGAAAGATACGTAGCGTGAGCTCTTAGTTTGGTGAAAGAAGCAGGGGCCACGTGGGGATTGTGACAATCATCTACAGTGGTGCCCCGCATAGCGACGTTAATCCATTCCGGATTAATCGTCGTTATGAGGAAACATCACTATACGGAATGGAAAAAGCCATAGGCTCCTAAACTCACCGTTAAGTGAAGTTCCTCCATAGCGCCGCCATTATCGCGCCCTCGCTAAGTGAGGGCAGGGTGTGAAAATGGTTGTGGTGGCCATTTTGTGCACGCGGTGGCCATTTTGGAACCGCCAATCAGCTGCTGAAAAAAACATCGCAATGCGAAGCTCGGTAAGCGAAACGCTTACCGATCATCGCAATGCGATGTTTTGACCATTAAAAAATCGCAATGCGGATTTGTCGTTAAACGGTGCACTCGTTAAGTGAGGCACCACTGTATATAGAAAACCACCTTACAGAGGAAGACTGCAACTGCCTCCATGGCTGCTAAGTCTGCCCACTGGGCACTGTTTATTGACAAATTCAAGACCACTGCCTTGCCTTTTTATGGTTCTTTGTCTTTAAAGACAGACTCTAGGAGGGGCAGCCTTCAAAAAAAGAAATAAGTACAAGCAGCCCTTCAGCTAAGGGATTGTCATAAGTAAAGGAGTGCCTATGGCCATCCCAGTAACAAGGATGCATGGAGGAGGTATTTTTCTAGGATTTCAGAACCTGATAAGGAGACCTGACTCCCCCCCCCCGAATCCTGCAGAGATTGATATAGACCTCCCAAGCAAAGAACAAATTGTAGGTAGGATCTGTCAAAGCTGACATTAAAGGGGTACCCCAGAATGAAACCACACAACCAGTGATGAGCTTTTCCAAGCTCATTTGGGTATCTCATTATAAAATTTCCTTTTGTTGCTATAATTCCAGGCAATTCCAGAACTTGTTGATTCTGTACAAGTTCTATTAATGTACATAATTTCTAGGTTCCATATGAAAAACATAAAATCCCAAAAATATCAAAGACAGTGTAACCATTATGTGGGAAAACATATGGGCACATATACTTTAATCCAAAAGACATATAATTATGTAGAAAACTGTAGGCTTATTTAAATTACATTCTTGCAACTTGTAAGTATTGCAGGTGTTGAAATTTAGATTATATAGGCAAAATTTAAGCCATGTTTAAATCAAAAATAGGAAAGCATTAAAACACAGAAGCTCATAGCCTACAAAGGCAGAGAATATATCTCTATAATATTTCATTTAAAAATAAAAATAAAAAAACAGTATAACTCCAAAAGCTTTAAAATCTTTCTCAAAAATACATGAAAAAAACATCAGGGTTCTTATAATAAGAAAGTACAAAATGAAAAGGATTATTTAGCTCTAAGCATGAAGTTAATACACAGAAACATATGTTTTCACTGAGCCTTAGCAAGTTAGAATCTATAGCTCTGCTTTGTCCGTAATCTGGTGCAGAGTTGTTGTCTCTGTGCCTCTCTTCCTTTCTTCAGCTGGAAATGTTTCCAAATTCCCACTGGATGTGCATGTTTGTGCGTGTGAGGGGAGACAGCATAATTATGTAGCTTATCAATTTGTTGGTTTATTAAGATTTTTTAATTTTTTTTTTACTGCTGCTGCTGCTGCTGCTAGTTCTATGCTAATGCTTGGGTTTCATCCAAAGGGAACAGGCAGTTTTCTGCAACCTGTTCCCACTGATGTCCAATTGCTGTCCCTATTTCTGATTTTTTTTGGACAAATGTGCACAGGGAAACATCAACAGTTTTTTCCCGAGCAAGTTCAGAAGATGGCAGATTTGGGATGTCACAGAAAGACAGCAAATTGTGTTATGCAACTTGTGGTTTTGATATGATCACTAACCAGGATAGAGAGAGGGGCCTGCATAATATTCTGACTCATGAACCAAATAACTTGACTGGCTTTGGGTATTACGCACTTTGACTGGAGTAGGGTTAGGGTTATTTGCTATTCTTAACTTCATGTCTTGGGCTGGTTTTGCCAAAATGTAATTTCTTCAGTTTATTTCAGGCAAAGATTTTAAGTATGGTTTCTCTGTACCATTCATTTTCACCATTCTCCCTTCCTCACCACACACATACTATACTCACTATAATAGGCAAACTTGTAGAGAGAGTGCATTTTACTATCACGGCATGGTGCATACTCAGAGATGCTTTGCAGGCCTTTGGTAGCCAAGAAACAGCTGCCCACCGGTGTCTTTGTGGCTTGCTCATTATCATCAATGGCATTCCAGTGTTGCAAAGGAGCACAGGCCTGGAAGGGTGAAATAATGCGAGGAAAAGAACTGTATCACTGGGCAGAAGCAGGCAATATTACCACTTTGTGTTTAGAAAGCATTCAAACATTGTACCTCCACAGATGCATTCCTCAGAAACACACAATCAACATGCAAATGGAACTTGTTGTTTATTTCTCAGTGGCCAATCAGCAAACAAAAGTAAGTTAATCTGAAGCCTGTGGAACTTGAAACCTCACTGGGCAAAAATAAACTCTACTTCTTAAAACAGCTTTGCTTCTAACTGCAAAGCTGCTGTCTCATCTGTTTTCGCCCATTAAGAACTGCATAACCTCTGGGAAATACAGCATGCTCACTCTATATAGAACGTGTGTTCTGTGTCGTCAAGTTGGAACTGACTTATAGCAACCCTAATAGGGCTTTCAAGGTAAGTGTCTGGAAGTTGAGTGATGGTAACTGGACTTCCTTCTTGTTAGGTTGAAACATTTTGCTACTATCCAAGTAGCTTCTTCAGTCTGAGGAGAGCTGGTAGGAGACCCTTGATGTATTCTCCATGCTGGTTTCACTGCCCCCTGGTATCAATATGATCATTAGGTGGTCAGAGGACGGTGTGTGTGTGTGGATGAAAGTCCCACTTCTGCAGTTCTTCTCCACCCATTGTCATAGGTTGTGAACAGTCATTAACAGTGGTCTTTCTGGTGGGTGTGGTCCTGATGCTTCTGGGGATGGATGAAAGGGCAGCATAATAAAAAGGAAACAGATTATATCTAAGGCCTCCTCCCCTGTTGAGTAAGGAATTTTCTATACGCACATGTATGGCCTCCCTGACCCCTCTCTCAAAGCACCTATCTTCTCAGTCCAAAATAAGTACATCTTGGTCATAAAATGAGTGTCCTTTGTCCTTCAAATGAAGGAACACTGCTGATTGTGGTCCCAATTTGTTACCCCTCCTGCGCTGGGCCATTCTCCTATATAGTGGCTGTTTGGCTTCTCCAATGTAGTGCTGATTACTCCTCTTTGCATCGGAACACATATACTATATTGCTCCTCTTGTGTTTTGGTGTCCGGTCTTTTGGGTGGACAAGTCTCTGCCTTAGTGTGTTTGTGGGTTTGAACTGCACGAGTATGTGGTGTTTACCAAAAATCCTTTTGAGCTTTTCAGATACACACGCCATGTAAGGAATACCCAGGGTCTTCTATTGGCTCTAGGTCTCAGACTGTTCCATTGTCCTGCTGGATCGGGACATTGCCTTGTTAAAGGCCCATTTTGGATATCCACAGGCCTTAAGGGCTGTCTTCAGATGCCTGTCTTCCTTCTTCTTGGCTTCTGTGGAGGTGGGGATGTTTCTTGTTCTGTGGTTTAGCATCCTGATGACCCCTAGTTTGTGTCGCAATGAGTGATGAGAGTCAAACCACATGTATTGATCAGTGTGTGTAGGTTTTCTGTACATTTCTATTCCTAAGCTGCCATTGGATACTATGATGACTGCACAGTCCAGGAAAGCCAGCCGGTTGTCTTTGATGTCTGCCCTGGTGAACTTGATGTTTGGGTCCACCACGTTTATGTGGTCTGTGAAGGCCTGTGCTTCCTGAATCTTGATCCTCACCCAGGTGTCTTCCACATACCTGAACCAATGGTTTGGAGATGTCCCTTGGAAGGTGTTTAGTGCCTTCTTTTCAACTTCTTCCATATATGTGTTGGCAACAATGGGCAACTCATGGCACAGCCATGTCTCTGTCTGTAAAAATCACCTGGGTAGGTGAAGTAAGTGGTGCTCAGACATTTCAACCTAATAAGAAAGAAGTCCAGTTGCCAGGACTGAACTTCCAGATAACCTCAACTGAATGAATGAGAATCTTCACAGATATATTTAAGGAGTGGTTTTACCAGTTCCACTCCCCCAGTCAGTTTCAATGGCTGAGCAAGGTCTCCAACCCTGTTCTCCAGAGTCCTAGTCTGTTACTCTATCCACTACACCACACCGAGAACCATATATAGAATGGGTATTGGGCTGGATTTGATGATCCATGGGGTCCCTTCCAGCTCTGCAGTTCCAAGATTATGATGATGATGATGATGATGATGATGGTGATGATGGTGGTGGTGGTGGTGGTGGTGATGATGATGATGATGATGATGATGATGATGATGATGATGATGATGATGATGATGATGATGCATGGCTCTAAGGATGATGGGCTAAAATATTTACCATCCCTCACCGCTGGCTCACTGCTGGCCAGATCTGACACAAGCTGGAGCCCAACAGCTGAAGAATCATGCATAACTCTTCTCCAGTACAAATGATTGTACAAACCACTGACATCAGCAAAGCGATAGAAAAATAAATATTTTGAAGGTGAAAAAAAATATATAATATTCACAAATCTCTGAATGCTTGTATGCCAACGATCTAGTTTGGGAACATCCTACACACTCTCCCTTTTTTCTGGGGGGGGGGGAAGCTTGTTTTTAATGGGGACTCAAGACTTGATATCCAAAACTCGGGCTTGGACCCAAGGACTTGCCAACATCCCTGCTCCTGCACCTGTTATCTGCTTTGGAAATCGGCTGTCTTTCATAGCAATTATTGTGGAGGTTTTGTGACCTCACATGCTGCTTTTGCCTGGGAGGGGCTTTTCTGGGCTGGGGTAACTGTCAATCACTAACAGCACTAACCAATCGTTCGTTTCCTGCCTTTGGATCCCACTGACAAAATGAAGTGCTCTTGTACCGCGTTCTTTTTTTGCCAAGGAAACGTGCTTTCTGGTTGGAAAGCAATGTAAAATAATGTTCCACAAGAGGGTTGTTTGTTTTGACATGCGTGTGTGCCCCTGATTTATTTCAGTTGATTCAGCATAGCTAAACACCTCTGTCACTGCAAACTGCTTCTTTGAATAATCAGCAGAGGTGGTGGGAGAGGTGGCAGAAGCAGCAACACCCATGGGAAGTGGGGAAGGAAGGACAGGCAGGTGCAGGGATCCTGAGAGGAAAGGGAGGACACAGCCTGACCAGTGCAAGGTTGGAGAAGAGCTATCTTTGGGGGGGGGGGAGATCAGAGTCACAGATCCTCATAGAGCCACATTATTTTTATGTAGGATCATGTTATCTGTTTACTGTAAGTAAATGAAACCTTTTATTCTTTCTCCTAATTATGTCTCAAAGTGAGTTACTGAGACTGCAAGTGCCAGCTGATGAGTAAAAAGGAATGGATTAATTTGGGAAACTTGAGGCTGTTCTGCTCTGTGAATCCCTCCCTGCATTTCTGCTATGCAGCTGGAAGAATTTACCCAAAATTTAAAATTCTGAAACAATTATTTTAAAAAATGGTGGGGAAATACCTTGAACCCTTTAAAGAATGATAGTCTGTGATGAATTTTGTTTTTGTTTTTAAGCAGATATATACTATAATTTAAAGCAGGCTTGTCCAACCCGTGGCCCGAGGGCCGCATGCGGCCCAGGTCAGCTCGTAATGCGGCTCAGTAAAATTTTTTATTTTTAAAGAAATTCCAATGTTTCAAGTTACACTGCTGGTGCTTGTGGCCGGAATGTGGCCGGGGCACATCACAACGGTGGGGGGGGGGGGGAGAGAGAGAAGGAAGGAAGGAGCAGGAGGGGAGGGGACGGGGGGGCTGTGTGACTGCATTGCGCCATCCCCATCAATAGGTGGACCCCCTCCCAGCCCCATAAAGCTGCCGGAGTCGAAGCTGGCAGCCTCTGCTTTCGGAGATCACAGCTGCCGGTAAGCACGCTTGGAGCAGGGCTGCAGAAGACAGCTAGGGCTGCCCCCCCATGCGGCCCAAACCACATGTATGTGCGGCGGAAAACAAATTTTCATCTTCTAATGTGGCCCAGGGAAAGTGAAAAAAGGTTGGACAGCCCTGATTTAAAGCTTCTGATCTGACCCCTTCTCGCCAAAAGCTCATCTCACTACTGATCTGCTTCGGAAATCCACTGTTTCAACTCTTCATAAACCTGCGAGAAAACCCTATAAAGGATGATATTCCTTTTTGGGTTTCTGTTAATTTCTTTGTGGAATAATGCTAACACTGAAAACAAGAAGCACTTGCACCTAAGCTCTGCCACGGTGTAATGCAGTGCACTGCAGAATACAGCACAGCACCTACGGGTCTTTTAAAAGACATTTAAAAACTAGAAAGCCATGGTTTGCTGCCAGTCTTTGTTATTGTTAGCATCTATTTAAGCCTTGCATCAACTGAAAATACCAGTATAATGTGCACAATTGAGCACCTATAGAGAAACAAATGCTCTGTTTGGATGCATCCTAGAGCTCTCTCTTCACAAAACCAAGATTCTTATGTCCTTAAATCACTTAGTCCAAGGGTGGTTGCTTCTCTTTTGAAATCATCATGGTACAGTGGACCCTCGACTTACAGACTTTTCAAGTTACAGACTTCTCTGGCCTCAAAATTTAGATTTGACTTGCAACCGGCGAATCGACTTACAGACCAGAGAAAAACTCAAAATGGAACAAAAATAGAATAAAAACTGCCAGTTATGGGATTAATCGGTTTTCAATGCATTGTAGGTCAATGGAGATTCGACTTACAGACTTTTCGACTTGCAGCCACCGTTCCAATACGGATTAATTCCGTAAGTAGAGGGTCCACTGTAGTTTAACACCACTTGTTACATTTTACAGTGTAAATTTTAAAACTTGCTTTTACCGTTTATTGATAAGCCTGAGCATTAAAATGTGTTTCGGAAATCAAAATATCAAAACACAGAATTTTAGTCTTAGGTTCTCAAAACATCAGACCAAATGTGCCATTTGCCTCAAACGTTATCTCCTCTTCCACCTTTGGAGCCTTAACTTTCAGGTACCCACCACAATATTGTCTTTCCAGGTGCTCACAGATGCTCCAAACCACTGTTTGGACTTGAAGTTCTTCAGAGTAATGTGGCCACGTTGTTTGATCTCATCACCTGGCCAGGAGTGGTAAGACAAGCAGAATAAAATAAGAAAACAGAAACTCATCCCCCTCTCCTAATGCACCCCCTTCATCTGTGGGCTATACTTCAGTAGTTTGCTTTCAGTTGTATAGATACAGACAGGATGGTATTCCTGCATTCCTTCTCCCAATTACCCATCACGTTTTCGCCACTGCACATTTCTTCCAGTTGAGCTCTGACATACAGTCCACCCACCATCTTTAGAACACTTCTCTAGTGTTTCTGGCCTAGTCAAAATCAAACACCATTTGGTTACTGTATTCTGTTTGCAGACATCTCAGCTTTGAATATGAGTCTCTGGAGGAACACCAGGTCATCATTTCCTAATTGCAAAGCTGCCCCTCTAGCCTGTTTTTGCCCCTAGATATTGAAAAAGAGCCACTGAGGCTGACAGTAAGAGAGTGGCCTTAGCTGCCAGGGCTTAAGGCTTAGCATGTGTACAAAAAAAACAGCAACACAGGAATCACTCACCTTTGGCATCAAACACAATGGGGGTACAGCTACTGCCCCTGGCTGTCCAGGGGCACAAATAGACAGCGCCTGCCTCCATCACACCAGGTTGTGAGGTGTTTGCCCGAGGAGCCCCCACAACCACATGCATGCTAGAAGGAGAAAGAAAGGTAAGAACTGAGTCACTGACTACCCCCATCTCATTTTGTTGGCTGTAAGAGGCCCCAGTATGGATGTGTGTCTGTTTTGGGCAAGGTGGGAAGGAGAGGGAGAATGTCTGCCAGTTTAATACCAAGACAGTTCTGTAACTCCTTAATGCATTTTCCTGAAGAAAGAGAATGGGCTCTTCATTTAACTTATCCCTGTCAGCATCTGTTACACCTAGAACAGATGTTTGACTCAAAACATGCAATCAGAATGCAACGTGCTATTATTTGTCTAAACTGCAGTTCAATATATTTAAAGTTAGCTACAGTCTGACATATAATTTTGAGTTTTCCTGCTTCAGAACATCTCCCAACTCTGTCAGAAGCCGCTGACATGCTGTAGTGGTATACTGGACCCAAGGATCACAGTGACCTTTGGTTTAGCAAACATGACAATATCAAAAGCCACCTCCTTTAGGCTTCTGCCTTTTGACTAAGTTTAACTGCAATCCTCACAACAGTTGGAGCTGCAGGAGGAATCATGAGATGGATTTCTCAGCAACTACATACTCTTCCAACTGTCACTGGAAGGACAGATCCTGAAGCTGAGGCTCCAGTACTTTGGCCATCTCATGAGAAGAGAAGACTCCCTGGAAAAGACCCTGATGTTGGGAAAATGTGAAGGCAAGAGGAGAAGGGGATGTCAGAGGATGAGATGGTTGGACAGTGTCATCAAAGCCACCAACATGAATTTGACCAAACTCCAGGTGGCAGTGGAAGACAGGAGGGCCTGGCATGCTCTGGTCCATGGGGTCACGAAGAGTCGGACACGACTTAACTAAACAACAACATACTCTTACGATTTATCCTTGTTGCAAAGGACTTAACTAAACAACAACAACATGCTCTTATGATTTATCCTTGTTGCAGTGGTAGATTGATCCAATTATGCCTAGAAAGTTTCATGGTTTTCTGGGGATTCGCACCCAGGTCTCCCAAGTCCTAGCCCACACACAATGCTGGCTTTCGTTCTTCATCCTTTCTAGGAATATATGCTGGTGTTCCATCATCTGCATCCGAAATGGTCTTACCTGCTTTTACTATCTTGGTAGAAATCCAAGGCAAAGCCAAAATAACTTCCATCAGCCCCAGTGTACACCGTGGGAGCATCTGCGTGTAAGTTGAAGTTCCATACTTCATGTGGGAGGTGCAGGAACTCCAGCACAAAAACCCAACAAGGGGCAAGCAAACCTAAGCAGCCTTCGTGCCCAGCCATCCTCTTCTGACACTTACCTAAGCAGCCTTCGTGCCCAGCCATCCTTTTCTGACTCTTCCAGGACCTCTTCTCCTAACATATGCTCATCATGCTGATAATTTCTTCATTAACATCAGCTCTTCTACACCCACAGTAACCACAGTTGTGACACACTTCCTTGAGTTCCTCCCACCAAGCTAATTTCAGCTGAAAAAAATAATTTATCAGATGTCACACATGAATTTCCTTTCAGGAACTCCTAGTTTATCAGAAGCCCTGCAGGAGTTGCCCATCAGCAGCCGCATGTCCCAGAGATATAGTTGTGATAAACTCGAATAATGGAAATGTCTAGCATTGCGACTGGACAGGATAAAGAATTTTTGCCAAGGCAATATGATTCAGGAGGCCTCCCATTTCACCCCACTGCCATTTCACCTACTAGTATGAATACATGAAAGGCACACAAAGATTTCTGCACACATCAGAATGGACCTTAAAGATTATGACTTTATGGTCCTTTCCAAACTTGGAAGAGTCTATGATTCTGCCCACAGGGATCTTTGGTGCAATCAACAAGCACAGATAACTAAATGCAACCAAAAATAGGCAGCCCTCTCTCTAAAAGACGCTGTGCCTGTTATCAAATATTCCGTGGTTGGCCACAGTCATACAACAGTACTACCATATAGTAAAACATGTTGCTGGTTCTCAAGGGTCTTTTCTGCTTTAATATTACAGTCAGGAGTAGGGAGTCTTTGGCTCCTGAGATGCTTTGGGCTATACTATCATCCCATCCTGAAAACACTTGATCTTGTTATCTGGAAGCTGAGTCATGGCAGCTGGACTTCTTTCTTGTTAGGTAGAAATGTTTCACAAATCATCCAAGTAGCTTCTTCAGTCTGAAGACTCTGCTACTGCTTCAGATGCCATTTCTCCTAGTGGCCGTCCTTTTCCCCCAATTTCTGGGGCATCCCAAACCAAGGGGTTTCAGTCAGTTTCAGGAGCTTTCCTGAAACCTGACTAGTCTCACTGTGATGAAGCCCCGCCTCTTTTTTTTTTGGATTACTAGTCTCACCGTGATGAAGCCCCACCTCTTTTTTTTTGGATCTTAAGGCCTGCCTAGTTTCTTGTTAGGACCTTAACTGAACACTGCATTGTGAGTACATTTTGACACACATAAACTTAACTTTACCTCCCTCACCCCATCTTAAACTTCACTTTTAATAGAAACAACATGTTTTCCTGATACAATAGTTACATATACTAAAGTCTGATTTGCATACAATTGCATAAACTAATTTATACAGAAAAAATAAAAATAAATCCTTTTAAAAATTTACATAGAATTTATGCTAAATCTCAATTGAGTGGGGAAAATTGTGAGCTAGTGACTTGTGTGCCTGGGGATAAGCGAATTCAGGGTCCTAGTCTCCCTCCTAATTCTTTATCCTACGTGACTACCGTACGTGCATTTTCCCCCATTCTGTGCAAAAATAATCATATAATTATTTCAACATTGAAGAAAATAATATCTTTGTAAAAGACAATACATGGCCCTTTATGTCCTGGAATTTTTTTTTGCCTGCACTGTAATTCTGAACAGGGGTTTTAAACCAATTTACCTGGGGGCCGCTGGAGGCAGAGTCTGGGTGAGGCTGGGCCGCATCAGATTTTCCGCCAAGCGGAGCAAGAGCCCGAGGAAGCCGCCCAGGAGTTTCCTTAGCCGACAGACAGGTGGGCTGGCTGGCAGGCTGCAGTTCTGGATGGAGGGTGCAAGAGGTGCTGTCTTGGGAGAGAGCTGGCGAGCGAGGCAAGGCTTTTTTTTTACGCTTGACAGCAGAGGATGTGTGGGTGCTTTTGGGGGGGGCAGGCACGGCGAGGGCCACAAACTATCATCTGGGGGGCTGCAAATGGCCCCCAGCCGCATGTTTGAGACCCCTGTACTAGAAGATTATCTCTCACTGAGGTTTTTTTTTAAAAGCAAGCTTTGTCCATATACAGTAATTCCATTAATTATTTTTGCAGTTAGAAAGGGCTAAACTTTGGAGTTGGAAAAGATGCATGTTTAATTCTGATCAATGCCAAATCACCACCCCACCCCACCCCCATGATATTAGTAGGGAACTCCAACATACAAACAGCCAGGTCATTGTAATTTAGTAAGTGAATAATATATGAGACTATTTCCAGCTCTCTTTCAGTTATCTCTGAATGGTCTGGGGTGATAAAATCTTCAAAAGGTATCACCTTCTTGGAACTGATGTTTTGCAACTTTGAGAAATACGGTTGCACACAGTTAACAAACAGACAATCAGTATTAAACACTAGCAACACTCTTATTCTTTTATGAGAAACAGGTAATACTCAAACAGTGTGCAGTCTCTCTGCTTTTGCTTCAGTGACCTCTCCACTTGAAATTCTTTCTGCAACTTCTTCTTGTAATGGAACAAAGCTCCATAGGTATTGCCTTGCAGACCCTAAACCCTGGAAATAAAATTCAATGGATTCCAAACAAACTTACTTTCAAAAACAAGACTGATTACCAGTGCTGAATGTAAATTAAAAACTCCCTTCAGCCTTAAATGTAGCTATATATCAACCCTAAACTCTCTAGCTGGCCTTAAGTGAACCATTTAGCTCCAATCTATGTATTTTTTTTATTATATGGAACATATGGAACCAATATTTAATTCATATTAAATATAAACATTGGTATACATTGTATTTTTGTTTTGCCCTATAAATAGGACATTCTTAACCTGGAGTGGCAACATGTTGCCCTGTATGTATAGTTCACTCAAGTATGTTTATGTGGCTCCCAACCCTCTCCCATCCCCATCTTCTGCTGGGAATTCTGTTTGAAGTGGATTCTGATCCTTAAAGGCCTTCAGAAATAGTTTACATTCTAAATAGGTCACTTCCCTCCCTGCACCATTCAACACTCAAAAATACAATTTTTTAAAAAAACTGGAAGTGACTTTCAGCCATTTCATTTCTTTTCATTTTGGACATTTCTGGCACTTTAGTTCAGCACCTGGGAAGCAGAAAAATAGCCCCGGAATCCACAAAAAATACTCACCCTGCTCTAACCACTGTGTCATGCAGGTTTTCTAGCTTATCCATAGGGTATTATTTTCAGCTTTGTTGAGGTGTATGAAGTATTGTTTCAAATAGTCAAAGTACAACATATACTCACGTTTTTTGTTATAATTATTATTATAACCTGGATCCACGGCCGGTGGTTAACTACCAACCAGTGGCGAACCTCCCTTATTTGGGCAAAGTGTTGGAGCAGGTTGTAGCCAGGCAACTTCAGGTGCTGCTGGATGAAATGGACTTTCTGGATCCATTTCAATTGGGTTTCAGGCCAGGTTTTGGTACAGAGACTGCCTTGGTCGCCCTGTACCTTTGTCGGGAGAGAGACAGGGGGAGTGTGACCCTGTTGATGCTCCCGGACGTCTCAGCGGCTTTCGACACCATTGACCATGGTGTCTTTCTGGAGAGGCTGGCTGGATTGGGAGTTGGGGGGCACCGCTTTACGGTGGTTCTGCTCCTTCCTGGCTGACCGTGTCCAGAGGGTGGTGCTGGGGGACAGTTGCTCTGCCCCATGGCATTTATGTCATGGGGTTCCTTAGGGGTCGATACTGTCCCCCATGCTGTTTAACATCTACATGAAACTGCTGGAAGAGGTCATCAGGAGGTTTGGGCTGAGGAGTCAGCAATATGCTGACAACACTCAGCTCTACCTCTCGTTCTTCCACCAATCCAGGTGAGGCGGTTTCTGTGCTGAACTCTTGTCTGGACCTGATAATGGAGTGGATGTGGGTTAATAAACTGAAACTCAATCCAGACAAGACAGAAATGCTGTTAGTGGGTGCTTTGGACCTGATAATGGAGTGAATGTGGGTTAATAAATTGAAACTCAATCCAGACAAGACAGAAATGCTGTTAGTGGGTGCTTTGCCAGACAGGCTGGAGGGCCATTTCCCTGCCCTGAATGGGGTTACACTCCCCCTAAGGGACAGAGTATGCAGCCTGGGGGTGCTCCTAGACCCTGTCTAACTCTGGAAGCCCTAGGTGGATTCGGTGGCCAGGGGCGCCTTCAGCTGTGGAAATTATCCCAGCTATGGCCCTACCTGGATGAGTACAGTCTCATGACAGTTACACATGCACTGGTAACATCTTGTATAGATTGCTGCAATGTTACACTCCCCCTAAGGGACAGAGTATGCAGCCTGGGGGTGCTCCTAGACCCTGTCTAACTCTGGAAGCCCTAGGTGGATTCGGTGGCCAGGGGCGCCTTCAGCTGTGGAAATTATCCCAGCTATGGCCCTACCTGGATGAGTACAGTCTCATGACAGTTACACATGCACTGGTAACATCTTGTATAGATTACTGCAATGTACTCTATGTAGGGCTGCTTTTGAAGATGGTCCGGCAACTGCAACTGGTTCAGAATCCAGCTGCGCGGCTGGTGAGTGGTGGGGTCGCTAGGGGACACATCAAGCCAATTCTGTTTAAATTACATTGGCTCCCAGTTGCTGCCTGGGCCCAATTCAAAGTGCTTGTTTTGACATATAAAGCCCTAAACGGCTTGGGCCCTGGATACCTGGAGGACTGCCTCTTTCCATATGAACCTACCCAGCCCTTTTGAAAGAGCTGCCCCTCAAGGAGGTAAGAGGGGTGGCTTGTAGATAAAGGGCCTTTTTGGCAGCTGCCCCGACTATGGAACGCCCTCCTAATTGAGATTCGTCTGATGCCGATGACATTTCAGCGCCAGGTCAAAACCTTCCTATTCCAGAAGGCTATTAATTTAAATAATATCAACTGGGGGTCCTAATGGCAATTTTTAGAGTATATAATTCAATTGTATTTTAATTGTTTTCTTTTTGACTGTATTTTAATTGTTGTAAGCCTCCAGAGACCTTTGGGTAGTGTGGGCACCATATAAGTTAAACAGACAAACAAACGAACAAATAAAATATTGACTAAAATCCAGTAGTAAATCACAAATAAGATTAGGCCCATTGAACCAGTGGAACTTACTGAGGATTTGACTCACCAGTTAATTCAACGAGCTTATTCTACTTGTAACTTATAATAGGATTTCAGTCATTAAGTACTACAATATTAATAACTTGATGTTTTTAAAATAAAAATGTATCTGGGAAACCTCTGGTTCCTGCTACAGGTGGGAACGTATTTTGTGTATCTAAAACTAAAACATACAACAAAGAAATCAAGTCTCAAAATGGTATGGTAACAAAATAAATGGCTGAAAAATTATTCCGCATACTCTTGCAGCTTTTAGTTCACACACAGCGGTATAGTCTTCATACGAGCCATGGGCAATTCTTTAATGCAGTTTTCAAACAGCAGGGCTCTCTCACTTTGCCTTATGAACAAGAGCCCATATGAAGATACAAAGAGCCTAGAGATAAGGCTGAGGCCATGTTTTTCAGCTTGTTACATACCGCAGCACCTTCCCTAAACATAACTCCATTTATCCCCCACCAAAGTACTGAGTTGAATAGGCTAACATGAAAGGCTGGGTGAAATCTCACTTCCACCAGAGTAATAATAATAATAATAATAAACAAATCCTGCCTCAAATGGGCCTCTTATCAGCATAACACAGTTGCTTCTTCCTTGGGCACAGCGGAAACCAGCGGGGGCTTTATCAGAAAGCATAGGCAAAGCAAGAGTGGGAAAGGGGGACTGCTGGAAGGAATGGAAGCTGGCGACTTGGCATGGCAGAGTCACTTCTTCAACTCATTTTCACTTTAACCCACTTGTGTTGTCTCAGTCAGCCTGGGATCGGCTGGTTTCTTAACATGTAACTCTCCCTCATGTATGCGCTTCTGGGATTAACAGCCATCATGACAACCATCACTTATTTCTCTTTTATAATATCAAACCCACATTTGGAATTTTTCCATGCTCAATTTAAAGCACTGGTATTGACTTTTGAACTCCTTCACAACTCCGGAGTACAACACCATACTATAGCATTGTCTGCTAATGTTGCCTGTCAACACACCAATCTGCTTTCTCACTGACTGAAGTAGTCTTTATGACCTCTTCCAGGTCTAGACCTAACAGTAACAATGAGGCTGTTGCCTTGAATGGCAGATACTGTGCAGTTACGCTGGCAAGCCCTCCCCTCCCATTTTCCCATAGCCACTCAAATCATTTCTATCCTCCTTAACCAGTGTCCATAGAATTTGGAGGGAAGCACTGCCATCTTCACCTCAGGCACCTAATGAATACACGGCAAGTGACAGTGAGGGAAAAGAGCTTCTTCTTGACAGGGTAGAATATTCTCCCTGGGGAAGCTATCAACCTCTGTTCAGGGAGAAAGCCAGTACATAAATCAAATAAATAAGCAAGTAGGCTGGTATGGTATCTATTCTGATTGTATTCTGGTGACATGGAAAATACTCCCCCCCCCGAAACATGTTTGATGTTTTATTATTTCATAAATTATCGCTGATCATTTTTAGTAGTTTTTTTTGGAATTTGTATTAACTATGGTTAATGTATAAATAAATGGGGTTATGAAGACAGACTGTGTAAATAACTATTAGGACATTGTTCACAATGAGTAATGGTGTGGGAGCATGGATTTGTATTGTTTCTTAATTCATGTCTTGCTCTCATTACTATTTCCGCTGGCATGTACACAACCACTTTAATGTCAAAGATTGAGGTAAATCATTTCATGCACAAGAATCATGAGAATGCATGAGAACAAAGTTCTAGAATCTCAACCATGTGAATTTTCTGTTTTTTTCAAGAAGCTAATTGTCTATGTGAAAGAAGGAATGGAATTGTATCAAAATCTGTGATAAGATGAAGACAGGGGAGGATAGGTTTCCCAACATAATAAATAGTATAATAGCAGGAATGATGAAAAAGAATAAAAGGCACAGGAGACTTAGATAAAATAAACAAACAGGAGCTATGAAAAGGAAGGCAGATGTGAAGCATAGTAATAAAAGGACTAGCAACTTGAATCTTGCTTGTATGAAAGCAAGTACACACACACATACACATTCCCCCAAATTACTAGTTTATTAGAAAGTTTATTTTCTTCATTTTTACAGCATGTATATATATTTATATATATACTTTTATGTGACAAAGTTAAATATAGCCTGCTGATACTGAAGTAATAGTGTGTTCTCTTTGTTGTAAGCACTCTTGTGGAAGTCCAGTCTCCTCTTGTGCCCTCACTGGGGTGCTGTATCTTCTTCAGTTTGAATCTCAAGGAAATGAAGCACTGAGAAATTAATACTGTTACTTGTTGAATATCTACAGCAACTAGAACCGTCCCTTTGTCAGAGCAGCATTTTCCAGAGCTAGTCTCTTTCTAGAAAAATGCAAGGAAGCTTGGAGCAGTCTATGGCCTGGGAACCTCGGGACAGGAGGCAAAAGTGATTATTTTCACAATTTTGGGAGTGGAAACCGTATTCTCAGGACACAACCTGGCAACGCCCCTCTAGTACAGACACAGTTGGATTGCAAACAGCCATCATTCTGCAGGAAACCAGCCTACCTCTATATTCTTCATCCCACCAAAACAGAGATTTTAAGATTAACTGGAAGGATGCCTGTCCTTTTTTCAAATGCCCCACGGAGTGACAAAAGGGCGATTCATTTTCTTTCGAAATAGACATCATCTACATGAAGAGAACAGTTGTGAGGAAAGGGCAACCCATCAGGCTAGAAGAAAATCCCAAGAAAGAACAGGATTAAAAACAAAAACAAACCACTCAAACTTCTCCAAAACATAAAAAGCACACATACCTGAAAATAAAAAGGTGTGAAAGAAAAACATGTACACACCTAGCTAGAAACTGTGAATCCCAAGGGAAACTGCAAGGCTTTCGAGTGATCCTGCCTTTCCTACTGCCTGAAAATCAACTTCCCCCTCCACTAAACCAACTGAGTCCTCAAACGAGTAACATGTTTAACACCTGCAGTAAACATCTCGACTGCCATGCTAGCTCCCTTTTCTCAGAAATTACAAGAGATGTCATTACACAGGATGGAGTTCATCAGCTGTAATATAAAAAGGTTCAAGACCACTGCTCCTTGCTTATTCTAAATATTGTCACATTTTCTTCTGTAAAATGAAAAGTCTCTCTCTTTTTTTCACTTTAGTTATGGTACATAAAAATTTCACCAAAAAAAGAGCTCAAAATATACATGCTTGAAATAATCTTGTGCTCTAGCCACAACTAGAAGCTTTGAAACTTTGATGTGAGTTTCTTTCCAACTACATCAAAATGTATAGATAACCAAAGCCACCTGAACGAGCACCACTCAAAGAACAGGCTGTAGAAAGTGTTATTGCGGTATACTACCAATATGGAACATTTGTCAGAGAAGCTACAAAAAGCAGCATTGTACATGTACAGAGTTCAGTGCAATTTTTTAAAACTTACTTTTCCTTCGGAAATAAAAATCATAAGTTAAGAAGGAACCATCAAATATTACAGAGGAAAGAGTACAAGTCACAGAGTCATGTTCAGGATGTTCACAGGACTCCAGGACAATGTATTGCTTCAACAATTGATAAAAGGGATTGCCCTTTATTCTTTCAGTAGCATTGGGAAGAGCAGCCCAGCCAAGCTTTGCCTGATGATGGAAACTGGCCACTGCTTCCTGCCTGTGATGGCCAGCAATCTGTTGAATGGTGTTTCTTGAATGGAAACCAGAAGGGAAGGGGGGCAACAGAAGGATATACCAAAGGACTGACCAGCTCTTAGCTTTTTTTGTTCCATATAAGATCTATGCTGGACTCAAATCACTAATTTCATACTTTACAATGAACACAGATACTGAAGGCAAAATAATTCAGATTATTACTCACTTCAGTCTTCAGAGTTGAAATAAAAACATAAAAACATGAGCATCAGAAATTAAAAAGAGGGCACCCCCCCCCATAGATGTGAACAAGCTGTCTCCCTGGATGAATGGGCCCTTGACAATCCTCACAAGCAGACCTCCAGTGACAACGCCTTCCCCTTTTCCAGACTGCTAGACCTCCCCCTTCTTTGGCTGTTCTCTGGTTGTGTCAGCTGTGGCCTGTCAGACAGCAAGACAGACTGATACACATGCACAGACAGATACGCTCTGTCTTCTCTCTCTCTCTCTCTCCCTCCCCACCCCTAACAGAGGCTGCCTCTCTCACTTCTTCATGTGCCATGACTGGGGGGATGCTGCAAATCCTGGCCTGAGAAAATGGGATGCAAAAGAGGGTGGAGGTGTAATGCTGTTGCAGCAGCAGTGGCTGGTCGGGGTGCTAGAAGGGTTGGGTAGAGGGCAGCATGGGGGACAGGGTGAAAAGTGAAGGGTCCCGGATGGATGGCAGAGGCAGGAATAATATGGATGGGGTGGCTAGCCAGGAAAGTGGCAGGATGCCCTGGGATGATGGAGTGGGTTAAGTGGGACAAGGAGATGGGAGTCAAGTGTGGCTGGGGGATGTGATGTACTTGAGCAAGTGGTTGGGGATGAGGGTGAGGGTGGATTCCAATGGCAGCGGCAGCGGCTGCAGCATGGTGCTGTAGGATGGCATGCTGCACAGTGGTAATGGAGGTGGCTGCAGCAGCTGCAGGCTGCTGGATGTGGATGGGCTGCAGAGCAGGGGCTGCAGCTGGAGCCAGGGCTGCAGAGGCAGGAAATGCCTTGACTTGCTTGGCCAGGAGCTGCTGCTGAATGTGCTGTTGAGCTGCCTGCTGAAGCTTGCTGTATTTCTCCATCTCCTCTGGAGTGAAAGTGATGGGCTGACTCTCTAGTGGTGCCAGGGAAGAGTCCTCAGTACCCTCAGGCTCCCCACTGATGCTGGGTTCCCCACTCTGTGGGACATAGCCAGGGAAGTGCTCAACGTCTGGCACCAGGGGCACCATCCTGCCTTCCAGGGAAACTGGTGGATTCCCACTGTCAAGCGATTCTAAAGTTTCTTCACTGGGATCAGGTAGGAAGCTCTGTGTTACAACAAGATCACCTGATCCATAGTGTTCTGGGAGCGCTGGTGGCTCAAGAGGAACAGCAGCCATCTCTGGGGTTGCATCCTCCTGTTTTGGTTCACTTGGGAGGGTGTCCTCTGTTCCTGTCACCAAGGTCTCTTCTGCTTGAGGCTGACTCTCTGTGGCTGTCTCCCCGCCATCCTGTGTTGCTTCATCCTGCTCTGACAGCTCCAGCTCCTCACCTCTTTCTAATCCAGGCTCTTCAGACTGCTTCATGCTGGGTTTTCGGACTGTGGGAAGCTTTCCGATTAATGGAAGGACAGGCTTGTTGCCCAATGAAGGAGGGAGCTTAGGGCCAAAATAGCCCTGTGGTGGATCCTTCAGCTTTATCCCAACTTTGTGAGGCCCTGCAGGGGAGTCTTCTGTGCTGCTGGGCTTTTTCTCTACCTTCCTGGACTGAATTTTTTCCAAGAGGAGCTTGGCTGTGGCAGAGTTCTTCTCCTCAGAATTACAGTTGCTCCCCATGCCGGAGCTGCCAGTACTTTGGGAGAGATTGCTGGTCCCTGTCCCCTCATCTCCTCTTGCTTCCTCCTTTCTCACAGGTCCTTCACCTTGTCTGGCTCTGAAGTAGTGAGGAGACTGTGAGCGATAGATTTTGGAACGGATGAAGTCACGCCGTCCAGATCTTCTCTCTCCAGGGCTTTCATGACCTCGGGATCCCTTCCTTGACAGAGACCTCTGAGAAAGACTTCTTGTGCTCCTGCTGCGCTCTCTGCTGTAGCTCCGGCTACGTTTCCAGCTGTGCCCTGTTCGGCTACGGCTCCTCCGCTTACTCCGGCTGTGGCTACAGCTACGGCTGCGTGTCCTGCCTCGACTTCTCGTCCTTGACCTTCCTCTGGTGTGAGTTCGACTCCGGCTTCGGCTCTGGGACCTGCTCCTGCTCAGGCTGTAGTCATCTTCAGAAGAAGAGTACTTGCGCCGTTTTGACCTGCGCTTGGAACTTGCATAGTCTGAATCATCCTCTGAGTCATGAGAGCGCTTGGTACGACTCCGTGATCGGTCACTGTAGTCACTATAACTGTCTTCTGAGTAGCTTCGCTGCCGGCTGTACCTGCTGTTGTCTGAGGAGGCATACGAACTTGTTGAGTACGACCTCTGAGATGATCTTCGAGAAGAATGCCTACGTCCTGATCGAGAGCGGCTTCGTGAACAGTCACTGCCAGAGTCATAATCATCACTGTACTGAGATTTTGACTTCTGCCGGAAGTGCTTGTGGCAGGAGTCTTCATCACTCTCATAGCCACCACTGCTCTGTCGGCCTCTATGGCTGGGGTGAACAGAAGCTGATGTGGAAGACCGCCTCTTAGTGGCAGATGATGTTGGCTGCAGTTCTCCCTTTGTTTTTTTGCTGTTGTGATCTTGGGAGGAGGTGCCGCTCTCCTCCTTCTTGCTGCCACTGTCTTCCGTAGACAGAGATTTCCGCTGGGAGTCTTGGGAATACCACTTTCTTTTCTTGGAAAAACCAGAATCTTCAGTCCCTTGTGCTCGCTCACCTTCAGTAGGGAAGGAAGGCTTGCTCTTTTTGTGTTTGTGTTTTTTCCGTTTCTTGGATTTATCTTCTGCAAGGTCACCCTCTCTGTTTTTCTCATCTGTCTCTCCTTTACGCCGGCGTTTATGCTTGGTGGACTTCTTGTGCTTCTTCTTCTTTTTGTGTTTGTGGGATTTCCCCATTTTGCGGCTGACCTGACTGCCTTTACTGCCTTCTTCTGGACCTTCCCCCTTGGCAACACTCACAGGGTTGGATTCCTGCTTGCTGCATGCTGGGACAGACTTGTTTTCTGATGTTGAGGTGGAGTTGCCAGCTAGGTCCACCTCTTTGCTCTTGCTTGCACTGCTATCGTCAGTGGAGGTTTTCTCCTTTGAAATGCTGGTTGCCAATTTCTGTTTCTCTGCCCCTTTTGCTTTTGCATCTTTGTTACGAGAAAGTTTGAAGTCAAAATACAAGGGATTGCAGCTGTATGATACAGATGGCTCTGCTTTGGTGAAGAACAGCAGTTCTGAAGGCCACTGAAGGGTAGTGCTTTCATCCTTACTCAAAACTGGGAAAAAGGGCCCTGTTAAATGCTTAGGCCCATCTGCAGTTTCTTTACTGGTTGATGGTGGCTGGGAAATCTCTTTAGTGACATCTGGCTCTACAGCATCACTTCCCTTGAGCTGTTTCGCCTCCTGTTTGTCCACTTCTTCTGGGGGGCCTTTGTCTTCTGTTTTGTTGCTTTTGCTGGCAGGACCCTGTTCTTTCTGCTGAGGAACAGATTCTGCCACTGCCACCTTTTCACCATTTTTGGTCACTTTGGGCTTGGGGGAATTGCTCCGTTTCCTTTCATGGGCTGCTTTTTTGTTCATAGCTTCTGCTTCTACCTGGTCTGTGGCCTTCATGAATAGCAGGAATTGGAAATTGGGTTTCACCTTGCAGTGGGCAGGTGGAATATAGTGGTAATATTCTGGTTCTAGTGCCACTGGACCATCATCTCGTTTCATCTTTTTCAGTTTTGACAGTGTGGTGTTTAGATTCCCCCCCTCCTTTTCATGTTGTTCTTCATCATCTCCTTTACTCTCAGGGCTGTTTGTACCTTCTGTCTCTCCAATCTTTCCCAAAGCTCCAGATTCTGAGTGGGCTCTCTCATCAGCTTTGACTTCATCATCAGGAGAACTGGACTCATCTACATGATCTTTGAAGACAGAGGCAATTGATTCAAGCTTCACAGGGGCCTTTTTGGCAAATGAGAAAGATACACCTATCTTGAGAGGGTTAACCCCTAAACTGACAGTCTGAGGTACTTGTACAAGATCTTGTCCAAGCCCAGAGTTGCTACTGCTTTGCCCACTGGCATAAGTTGTACCCTTGTCCACAACCATATTTGTAGCTTGCCCAGAAGCTGGTGAGATGGAGGAGGAACTAGTGGGAGCTGCCATGTCCATGTCTTCCTCTCCTCCTTCCTCATCTACAGCGACAGTAGTGGTTCTAAACATCGGCCCACTTCCTGGAGCACTGGAGGATGTGTTGGGGGAGAAGGGAGGAAGAAAAAAAAAAGAGAGAGAGAGAGAAATGGATTATAATTATAGCCTCTGTTAATATTGCAATCTGTTTATGAAACAAGGGCAGGATATAGATTAATCCAACAAATAAATTAATAAAAGAGAATCTCCCCCCTCCCCCATGTATTCAACATCTCATTATTTTTGTAGTGCTTTTTGAAAGCTAGGAATATATACAGGGTGAATGCTTTAAAAAAAGCTCCACAAAAATCTGGAATGCTCATTATTCTCCAACCAGTACATGCACAATAAAATCTGAATATTCATTTGGGTATTTTAAACTTTTAATTTTCTTTACACACACACACATCTAGTTCTCATGGTCAATGAGGAGAGAAGAGCTTTAAAAAGTGACTGAGATCCAAAATTTCACAAGTTTCTGGTAAACACACAAAACTTCTTGTGAGCTAGAGCTGCCTCAGGACTGCAGTTTTTGCAACCTCAGATTCTATTCACTATCTCCAGAGTGACTTGAGTTAACAGAAGAGTTTTCCACTTACACACAAGCCAGCACACAGTCCTGAGTGAAGAGAACTTCAGCCAGTGAGCCAGCTGAAGTATTTGGGGCACTTGTTCTGTTTTATTTTTGAAAAATTATATTCTTCAATTATCCAAACAGCACCACATTATTTAGTCTACAGTACATGATGTGGACAAAAAATGGTACAGTGGACCCTTGACTTACAGACGGCTTGACTTACAGACTTTTTGACTTGAGAACCGCCTTCCAATACGGATTAAGTTCTCAAGTCAAGACCCCACTGTAATTGTATGCTTAGTTGTAAACTGATTTAACTGCTTTGCCAGTTGACATAAGTCTGCCTGCCATGACACCCACAGATCATCACTCACCAGTCAGGCTGCCTCCTCTGTTCAGCCAGCTCATGCAGGCGCCTAAGTGCCTTCTCCTGCTTTCTCTCATCTTTTCGACATCTTGATGACACATTGCGAGCAAATTCTCTTTGTTTGAGATCCTTCAATCTCTGCATTTGAAACGAGAGGGCAAGAAGATGGGAATAAGATAGAACCACATTTTATTCTACATTGAAGTATTACCGACCACTTTCCCAATTCATTTATTGTATGTGCCCTAGACAACTAATAGAAGCCTCACTGGCAAAGCACACAACTTCAGAATGGAGGCCAAAATCCTGTTGTATAACTTAGACTTGTGGAAAAGTGATTATGTCAACAGCAGGGGGAGATTTTTGGTAATTAAATACTTCTTCCTTCCATTCTGTGGCTCCTACAGCTAATACATAAAGAAATTGATTACTTTTAAGCTGAACAAGTCACAGGAGAGGAAGAGGAAATATTTAAATACCAAAAATCTCCCTGTCTGTGGCATAATCATCCTTGTGCAGATTTAATTTATGCAACAGGATTTTGGGCAGAATGTCCCAAATTTAATCCCTACAATGTCCAGTTAACAGACAGCAAATGACAGGACCAAGAAATGTCTCTGCCCAAGACCTTACAGAATCAAACAAACACTGGGTTAGATGATCCAAAAGTCTGTCTATGTGTTAGAACACTTCATGAATTCATAAAGCAGATCTATAACTCCTCACATCCCATATAAACTCTAGAAATGTTTTCGTGAAGGCTTTCACGGCCAGGATCTAATGGTTGTAGTGGGTTTTTCGGGCTCTTTGGCCGTGTTCTGAAGGTTGTTCTTCCTGACGTTTCGCCAGTCTCTGTGGCTCGCATCTTCAGAAGAGTGCTGTCCTCTGAAGATGCCGGCCACAGAGACTGGCGAAACGTTACAAAGAACAACCTTCAGAACATGGGCAAAGAGCCCGAAAAACCTACAACAACCTCTAGAAATGTTGCTATTTCAGAAATTACTCAGCAACGAAAGGCAGGTGTATATCTACCTCCCTAGATTACAGAAAAATAGAATCAAATTATCCATTTGTATTCAACCCTTGGCATTTCATGAGCCAGCTCTCTCCATAATTTCCGATTTTGTACAACTTCTTTCAGCAACTTTTGGGCAGTGTCTGCTTTGATTACATCCAACCAGCATGCTCTTTTGTGTTGTATTTCACCACTGACCATTCTGAGCATCACGTCTTTCTCCAATGATGTTGATTGCATGACATGGCCGAAATAACTAAGTCTAAGTTTTGTTACTTTGCTTTCCAATTACATGTCTGGTTTTATTGGCTTCAGCACTTCTTTATTCATTATCTTTGCACTCCATGGAATGGACAAAAGCCTCTTCCAACACCATAGTTCAAAAGAATCAATTTTCCTTCTGCTCATCTTCTTCATCATTCAACTTCCAAAGGCATGGCATATGTAATTATGGGGAACACGATGGGGAACTAATCTGCACTTGGTTGTCAGGCTGATAGTCTTTTCCATATTTTATTCATATACATCATTGCTGTGTGACATAGCATGATTTGACATTTTATTTCTTGGCTGCAATTGCCATTTTGATTGACCATTGAACCTTAAAAAATGAATTCTTCCACACATTCAACCTCCTCTCCACCAATTACTATTTTGATTCTTTGCAGTTGTCGTGAGTTTGGTCTTTTTAATATTAAAAAAAGGCCAAACTTCTCACTTTCTTCTTTGAGTTTCACGATCAGGTACTTTAGACCTTCCTGGGTTTCTGAGAGGAGTCCTGTATCATCCACATATCAAAGGTTATTAACGATTCTTGATTCATGTGATTCCACTGGGCAGGAAAATAAACAATGTATTTCAATTACATTATAGGAGATTGTGACAGAACATCAGGAAGAATTTTCTGACAATAAGAGCTGTTCAACGACGGAACGGATCACTTCAGAAGATGGTGGGCTCTCCTTCATTGGAAGTTGTTAAGAAAGGATGAATGGCCATTTATCAGAGATGCTTTATATGTGGATTTTCTACTTTCACAGGATATTTCAGGAGAGAGGGTTGTGATTTCTTCCAACTCTACAGTTTTATTATTCTAAGATGACTGGAGTAAGACACCAAAGAGCTGAATTTGTTGTATTTTTTGAAAAACCTACTTGCAAAATTATATCTAATGAAACATTGCATTGGGGATCTTGCTTGAAAAACAGAGCTAAGTTGTTTGGTTACATTTAGTGGCACAACAATTGCTTACATTTAGTACCGTGTTCAGGTTTAGCACATATCAGCTTTAAAGATGCACTCACCAGTGATGGTAGTTCACCCTTTAATCATCAATATAGGGTATGCTCACATTTAAAGCAAACAGCAGGGAAGAAATCAAAGTTGTGACTCAGAGCTACAACTAACACACTCCTTTTAAGAAAACTTGGTATACCATACACAAGCTGTGAATTTGGTACATGACTGAATTTGCACCCCTAGTTTAGAATATGGTTAAACTCAGTATTAGTCTAGTGGAAGAGCACAATTTAAAATATAATGAAATATGAGAGGTAATGACAGATTCTTCTAATTTAGCAAGATATTATAAGTTTATTGTCTCATTAAACTCAGAGCCAAGGAAGAAGAGCAAAATGCACAACAACACTGTCACACATACAGTCATGGCCAAAAATATTGGCAACCTTGCAATTCTGTCAGAAAATGCAAGCCTTCTCTCAGAAAATTGTTGCAGTTGCAAATGTTTTGGTACTCACATGTTCATTTCTTTGGTTTGCGTTGGAACAACAGAAAAAACAGAGAAGAAAAATCAAATCTGATACAATCTCACACAAAAACCCAAAAATGCACTGGCCAAAATTATTGCCACCCTGTCTAAATTGTAAGAAATAATTGCTTGTCAAGCATGTGATGCTCCTTTAATTTGTATTTAGACACACCTGTCGCAAGTAAGAGGTGTGGGCAATATAGTAATGACACTCGCAACCTGTTAGGATGGAGAAAAGTTGACTCAACCTTTGTGTTACATGTGACACTGAGCATAGAGAAAAGAATGAATGTAAAGAGTTGGCTGTGGATTTGAGAGAAAAAATTGTGAAAAAACATTGACAATCTCAAGGCTACAAGTCCATCTTCAGAGATCTTAATGTTCCTGTGTCCACTGTGCACAATATCATCAAGAGGTTTACAGCCCATGGCACTGTAGCTAACCTCTCTGGACGTGGACAGAAGAGCAAAATTACTGAAAATTACAACGAAGGGTTGTTCGAATGGAGGACACAGAACACAGATTATCTTCTCAACAAATTCAAGCTGATATTCAGACACAGGGTACAACAGTGTCAGCTCGCACTATCCGTCACCATCTGAATGGAAAGATTCTGAATACAATTCCAAATGTACACTATAGTCCCTAAACCCCTTTACAGCATTGGGGGTTGAATAATTTTGAACACAACTGTATGTGACAAAATCACATTCCTTCTGGGAGAACATACTGTGGACAGATAAAAGCAGAGCTTTTTAGTCAAGGACATCATGGCACTTTTTACAGAAGAAGAAATGAGGCATTCAAAGAAAAGAACACAGTCCCTACAGTCAAACATGGTGGAGTTTCAAAGATGTTTTGGGGTTGCTTTGCTGCTTCTGCCACTGGATGCCTCAACTGTGTGAATGGTATCATGAAATCTGATGATTACCAAAGAATTTTGAGCTGCAACATAGTAGCTAGTGTCAGAAAGCTGCCTCTCCACTAGAGGTCATGGGTCTTCCAGCAGGACAATGACCCGAAGCACACTTTAAAAAGCACTTAAAAATGGTTACAAACAAAGCACTGGAGAGTTCTGAGATAGCCAGCAACGAGTCCAGATCTGTATCCCATAGAACACCTGTGGAGAGATCTCCAAACAGCAGTTGGGAGAAGTCATCCTTCAAATCTGAAGGCCCTGGAGCAGTTTGCAAAAGAAGAGTGGTCCAACATTCCAGTAGAGAGGTGTAAGAAACTCATTCATGGTTACAGGAAGCAATTGATTTCAGTTATTTTTTCCAAAGGGAGTGCTACCAAACATTACGTTAAGGGTGCCAATAATTTTGGCCAGTGCATTTTTGGGTTTCTGTGTGGAATTGTATCAGATTTTACTTCTCTGTTTTTTTGTGTGTTGTTCCAACGCAAACCAAAGAAATGAGCATGTGAGTACCAAAACATTTGCAACTGCAGCACTTTTCTGAGAGAAGGGTTGCATTTCCTGACAGAATTGCAAGGGTGCCAATACTTTTGGCCATGAATGTATATGAACAAAGATAGCTACAAGCATGTTAAGTTTGTGTAAAGGACATACATATGTGGAATGCAAGGAACAAACTCATTCTCAAGACCTGGTTCCAGTAATTTGCTTTCATTGTAGCAGTTGACAATAAAATATCATGAGGCATGCTTGGAGCACACACACACAGAGTAGAAAGGAAAGAAAAAAAAGATACATTTGGAAGCACCTGGTTGCAGATGCTGTACTGGAAATGAAATTGCTTCAAAGTTTTCAAGAGGACCAAACGAACACTAGGAAATCTTGACAATTCACTAAGAAAAGGTAGAGTTTATCAGTACATATTCAAAATTAATACTGTGAAGCTGGCATGAGTAGAAAGGAGGGCTTTAACAATGCAAAGAAATAATTGTAGGAACAAGAAGGCACTCTTTAAAAGGAGAATTTACAGGGCATTTGAAAAAGTGACACAAGGTGACTGGTGGGTTGATATATGTTGACATAACTAGAATTTAGGAAATTTTAGGCTCTTTCCTACAAAACAATTCCCAAAGTTCTCTGGTGGAACGTTAAAAATAATTTAATAAATTTAGTTCAGTTTGGTGGTACACATTGTAAATGTATAAACAAATTAATAAAAATTGATTTTGCACATGTACTCTGAATAACACAGTGAGTTCAATGTGACAGCTGTATAAATCTACGAACTGCTCTTTTAATATATTAGAACATTTTCATATGAGTGCTGGTATGGAAATATCTCAAATAAATTAATAAATACAATAAGCTTGAAAAGGGCCTGAAAGAGCAGACAGAACCTGCAAATTTACCATTCCATAATATCTATAGCTAGAGAGCTC